CTCCCATGGACACTTTAACTAGGTTCTCAAAGCATCCCAAATGTATTTGGCTATACGCATTATTCTTGACCTTATCCAAACTTTCAAGATTAACTGTGGGGATGTTATGATCTTGCCAACTAAAAATAAAATTATTTAAAAGTTCTTTCCCACCATACATTTATGAGACCAGACTACTAGTGTTCACCTTAAAAAAAAAGGCAGACTGGCAAAGAAGAAAACTTAATTTGGATTGGAATCCAAATTATCTTCCGGACATGACAGTTCAGTGCCATTTCAAAATTAAAACAAGACTGGTTCTTTCACACTTCTTTGTTAGTATTATTAGGTGTCTTTGAAACAACTTGAACCAATTTGGCCTTTATAAATTGCCATACACAGGAATTAAGCATTCCATTCTCTTAAAAGTCTGCACTTTTTTTTCTCCAATCCAATTGTTCTGAAAGGCATTGTGCAAGATGTTGTTTCATAATTAATGTGGGTTTCTTCTTCACATTTACCAGAAATCCCTCAAGAAAAAAAAGAAAGAAAGAAAAACCAAGACTTTCCAGCTGGTTGTGAGAAAGGCTAATAAAACCAAGCCTTAGGGTGTTTGCCTCAGCTTTCCCTGTGAATCTTTCCCTATTCTGCCAGTAATGTAGAAGGGAGGACAAAAAGAACTTATGGAGGGTTCAAAGCCATTCTAAAGGATAACTTATTAACACCAGATGCATGGATTTTACAGATTATTACATTTCACGTTTCCATTCCTGGAATCAGGAAGCACAAGACTGATAAAAATGGCACCATCAAACATCCCCCTGCCTTTAGCTATTTTTCCCCCAAGTTATTACATAGAAAAATTTCTGGGAGGGGTGTGTTGTGTCATTAATTTAGAAGAGAGCGAGCTATATTTATATCGGGAGAGTACAATTGCTGAACTGGGGAAACTCAGTCCCAGAATTCCAGGTTTGGACATAAAGCATCTTGCTAGGTGTCATGCCCCTGGTGGAGACTGACTCTGAGGGAGAGGAGGAACAGCCAACAGGGAGTGGAAGTGTGGCTCCTGAGGTTGTGGAGGAGGCTGAGGAAGGGCAGAGGCCGGCTGAGCAGGCAGAGGAGGACCCATCCCCATCCCCTATCCATCCTACGGCACGCAGGGAGGAGAGGATAAGGAAAAGACATGGTCTACCCAGGAGGAGAGGGCCTTGATTGTCTTCATGGGATGCAGGTGTGAGAACTGCATAAGAGTTTGGACCTGCATGCTAGCAAATGCTGAAAACAAAGAGTGTTTTATTCCTGGATGAGGTTTTTCTTGGTTGGCGTTCTTCCAACGGACTATACCTGGTTATCTTCTTGAAGTTTGTAATTAATTATCCTGGTCTGTCATGGAACTTTCTTCAGTGCAGTTTGTTTTTGGTTTTTTATTACTTCGTTATCTGCTCTTTGAGTTGGACTGTATTTCTGTCGTTTGGAATATTATTTTGGAAAGAGTTTAATCTCCAACTGTGAACAATTGAACAGTGAAGCCAAGCTGAAGGCATTAAAGAACATTTATTTACGTTTTGGTTTTTGTTACATTTGTGGGAGACTCTGGGTCATCACACTAGGTGTCGATTGCTGCTTTTATTATTGTTGAAGTTGTCACCAATATCAAATGGAGAAAATACTTCCAAACTGCTGTCCTTTGAGAGAGCTAGGTCACAAAATTCCTATGCTGAACTATTAACCATGATTTTGATCAGAGATGAAGATGTTGCAAGTAGAAACATGTTTCATTCTGGCAGAAATTTACCTGATTTTTTTCCCCCTGTGGACCAGTCGCTTTCAAAAGTTAAGCTGCCCACAAATAACTACAATCCATAGAACCATCATGCTTTCAGACGGAATTATCATGTTCGTGCTCACTTGCCTAATAAAGTAAAATACGTACAATGATGTTAGAATATGGGAACTATAGACCTTTGTTGACTATAGACTCTATGGAGTGGAGTGGAGCAGCACGAAACAGGAAACAGACATAGTGAGAATAGGTTTCAGGAAGACCTACAACCAGCCATCTTTCTCCATAATAGCTCTAGATGTAAGGAGTCATAACAGCCTTTTCTACATTTAGGACTGGAACAGAATTTTTCAGTAAATGAACTGAAATGAAAAGTTTCAATGAACTTTTCATAATGAAAACAACATTCCCCTCTCTTTTAGTATAATTCTGACTGTCCTAATCACATGTAAACTGTTGAGGTGTATGGCACAAGGATTTGGTTTAAGAACAAAAGTGGTATATAGGCAGAAGCATTTTCTCTCCAACAATTGGTGCTTCCCATCAACGACTGGGGCTTCTGGTTCTTTTCCATTATCACTCCATTAAACAAAGACAGGAGAAGAATGCTTAGAGGAAACACTATGAGAACTTTGTTGATTCTTGAAAGATGTATTGACACTTATGCATCAATCTTTGTGATAAAATAACCCTATATTATGTGGCCTAAAACAAAGGGGGTGGCATAGTTAATTACAATTGCTCCCTTGCTCCCAATTTTATATCTGGTAGCTCACATCTACATTCTGCTACTCTCACTTCTAGCTTGGTCTTAAAACAGTACAATGACTTTGAGTAAAGATGGAGTCAAGAAAGAGAACTTTAGGAAAAAACAAAATTCCAGTGGTGGAAGCCTTCTGTTTAAATGCTTTAAACAGATCAGTTAAGAACATACCAGTGGTGGCGATGAATAAATTCTGGGAAAGGAACAAAATACAAAACAAATAATTTATTAGAGGAGCATGCAAATTATCTCAGATCTTTCCCTGCAATCCCTTTCATTACAGAACCACAGTGCTTACTGCAAGCCACCCATTGCTAGAAATAAGCATTCCAGAACTCAGAAAAATATACTGCTGTCAGTTAATTATAAGTTATGCAACATATTTAGTTGACTTGTGATGACCAAATACTTTCTCTTGAGTTTGCCATTGGATAGATAAGGTTCAATAAGGGATAGTACTTTTCTATTGTTACTAAGTGGCTTTGACTGCTGCATCTTAGATAGAAATGCAGCTTCTTTTGACAGAAAAAGATTCCAAGATAAATCTTGCTGTTGCAAAGTTTATATTTGTGGCCTGTAGAATTTGTTGACAGCAAAGTAGGTTATGGGTGACTAAAGGCCTTTCATGATTTATTATCATGTCCCATTGTACCTGGTATTACATAAGGGCATTGTGTTTTTTCTAAATGAAATCTGGGTCAGTGACCTGTAATAAAGTTTGTCTTGACTTAAGGTTGGACATAGCAGTAGTTTTTGGTTTTGCTTCATAGTACACATTATACAGTACATACAAGTGGTTTTGCATCACATATGCAGCAACATAATTTGACATTTCTAGGTATGGAATAAGTAGTAGAGCTAAAATGGAAAACTTGGAAGAGGAGAAATTAGCAATGATGACACAAGAGCCACATAGTTGAATAATCAGAAATAACCATTTATTGTGGTGGAGGGATCATTGGCAAAGTAATCTAGCAGTTTGGTACAGGCTTTTTTTTAAAAAAATAATTTTCTTCAAAGCTACAATTGAGATTTTTTTTAAAAAGTACCAAAGCATTTGGGCTCTAAACAAGTGCAGAAATAAACTATTGATATGATCAATTTGCCTGCAACTGTGTCTTTGTGTTTTTTGCCGTGTATATTTAATAGGATATTTCAGACTACCCAACAATGGAAACATCCAACACTGACACAAAAGGAAAATCATTTCAAAACAAAAATGATCAACAGAGGGGCAGCAATTAGTCTTGTAATAAGCCTTGTAGGATGGTTTAAACACAGCCAAAAATGTATGTGAGCCATGAGAAATGTCTATTGTACATGACTGTGATTTGATTGTCTAGCTTTCAAATAACAGTTACTCATCTGTTGATCATTTTTGTTTGAAATGGTTTTCTGTTGTGTCAGTGTTGGATGTTTTGATTGTTGGGCTGCCTAGAGAATCTCTATGAAGATCATCTAGTCTCGTAATTGCTATATACTCTAGCTATTTCCTCAACACAAGATTTTGTGAAGTGATAATTTGCATTGAATCTTTGCCATGTTGATCAGTCAGAAATGTTAAATACATCCAAAAGACAGTATATGGTAGCCTATCCACTGAAGAAGACCCATCACTCACAGCTTTAAGGGAACCAAATTCTCCCTTCTCAGTAATGTACCAACATGTCATAAACAATTTGAATACAAAACTACAGGAGCCTTGTCTTTTAGCTCAATTATTAGACAGTTCAACTTGAATAGCCTACTAAATGCATCAATTTACACTCATTGTTTGGAGCAAAAAGAAAAAAAAATCAGATTTTGTCTTTGATACATAGATTTATTACAACAAACTTAATGACTTTTTGCAACCTATAACTTCAGCTGCTTCTTTTACATTTCCACTGGTACTGTATTTATGGAACACAAACATGTATTTCATGTTACTTTTCAGATAGGCAGTTATCCAATAGACACAAAGAGAGACAGAATAGAGACAAAGAGTCAGACAATATTGAAAAGTAGAAACAAGAGTTCTAGAAAAATGTAAGTATGGCCATAGTTGAAAAGGTGGAAATTATTACAGTAGCTTCACCCGTTCTCCTATGTCACTGCATTCTATATAAATGGGGGTGGACGTCTATTCAAATATTGTATAAAGGGTTTAAATAGGAGGAGAATTCCTATCAAACAATACTTTACTGGTGATCTAATCTTTCAGCAATGATACTGCTAAAAGTATGGATGCTTTTAAAGATTGAACCAACAGGCATATTTTGTTACTATATGTCAAATATTAGATTATATATCTTCTTTTATGGAAAAGTATTTTATTTTAAACCCATAATCTACAAGGATTCTTAGTGTTCATATAACAAATTGTTGCTTACCTTTGTGCAAATAATATATTGGATATTGATCCCATCGAGTTTTTTCATTATCAGCAGAATTTATTTTAATATACATTTATATTTAATTAAATATTTTGTATTATGACTATTCCCAATTAATTAAATAAGTTTGAGCATCTACATCCTCTTGTTTAAAAACCCACAGACCAGTTTACTGAAGAATTTGTATTCAGGTGATCACTTGTTTTCATATTATAGAAAGCATAACTAGTGAAATAAATGTGTCGTAAAACAGTAGTGACCTTTATTTTGATTGAGCTTCTATTGTAATAGTTCTGAGAATGGTGAAACTATTATTTTTACTTATTTTACTTCATTAACTTATTTTACTTTGTTCCAGATTTACAGTTGTGTGAAAGAACATTAAGCATAGTTAAAAATTAACTTTTAAAAATTCTGCAAAAAATACCTGTCCTTATTCATATTTTAACAATCTGTTGAGAAAGTTGCATTTTCTATGATTCTTTCAAAAAAAGAACCATGTTATATTTACTTGCATTAGTCAACTGAAGAATTTTTAGAGGAAAAAGGAGAAAGACATTGCATAATAGTGTCTGTTGACCACCTAAAATCAAAGGTACATGAAATATATTAAAATATTGCTAGCATATCCAATATGCAGAGGAAATACTTAGCATCTCAGACGGTCTCTATAATTAAATCAAGATGCAAGAGGAATGAGTAGACTGTTCCTTTATTATTGAGGGTTGGGTGTTAGCAAACAACTGAATAACAAAAGTTTTATCTTATTTATGTAATCATAAGAAATGGGGTTGGTTATAAAACAACCATCCAAAATATCAGTAAAATGCATTAGAAATGTATACACTACAGAAACTTAACTCTTGAACTCTTAAACATAATCTAACGCTACAAAATATTAAACATTTATCATTTGGTATCATCTATGAATCTGCTTTTCCAGCAATATGATTTTTTTTTAAGAAAATCCCAGTTGGTTGTCAAATAGTGAAACAAATCTGGAAGACTGTATTTTAACTAAAATAGACTACAGTTTGCCTAGTTACCATGTTCAGCTACCATGCTCAGCTACCAATCTTTTTTTTCTTTCAAGAAGTTTAATTCTCAATGCAGGAAAGCCAAAGACGTCAGTGGTGATTGTTATTGGGGTAGAAACAATTGCAATTTGCCATCCAGGGTAGCTGAAATGAGCTGTAATTTAAATGAAAAGAACCATGATTAGCTTATATATCAATGGGCCAAAATACTGGAAAAACTGCGTGAAAATGAAACACTTTATATCCATTTCAGCATATGGTCATCAGCAACAAAAGAAATCTCTGCTGTCTGCACAAGTAGCCTACGTCCTGTGAAACAGACTACAGCTACGAGGCATGAAATGTTAGTGAAACATTTTCTTTTTCTTCTTCTTCTCACAGCTGCAGAATTGAAAAGCTCTCACAAGGCAGCAGGGATCTCCTTTCACAGTTAAGATTAGACTGGATTGGAACTCATTACACAGCTGTAAATTAATTATGTTGCCATATGGATACCAATTTTTGTAAGCTTCTTCATGGCCTTGTATAGCTATACTGTATAGGGGTATATTAAGTATTCTCACTGAATATACTGTATATCTCATGCCTTTTGTGAGACCCGGGGCATGACACAAAAATAACCAAGTCACAAAAATAGAAGAAAGTCCCTTTAATGCCTCCAACTTGGCCCCAATGTCCAATTATCCTCGGCTGAATATCAAACTCTTAAAGAAAACAGTTTACGGAGGGAGTAAATGCAGTCTGCACCCAAAGTAAAGTTAATTCGAAATAAAAAAACCAACACAAACCACACTGAAAGAATTACTATGGCAGGCAAGGATGATTAATTGCAGACTTCTAGCAGATAATGCAGCAACCACAGTTGGGAGGAAGCCAAACACAGATAAGCTCCGACAAGAATGCACGCTTTGCTTCCACCAACTTTGCCATGCACAGGTCAGTTCAGTTCAGTCTTCAGTTCAGTAAACAGCAATGGTTCATGCCCCACATTTCCTAGTCGTACCACAACTAACTGTAATGACCTACTACATATTGACTTTACGTAAGATAGTAGAAAAGGCACTACGTAACCTAAAACCATCCCTATCTACTGGCCCCGATGGATTATGTGCATACTTCTTTAAAAAGCTCTCCTCTGCCATATTGGAACCCCTAAGCATTATATATGAGGTATCATTCAGAACCAGCTCCTTATCAAACCTATGGTCCTTAGCTACGGTCATCCCTATCTTCAAAAAAGGTGATCCCAGCCCAGAAAACTACAGACCAATCTCACTGTGTTGTGTCACGTGCAAAGTCATGGAATCAATCATTAACCAATTCATCACTCTCCACTTAGAGTCAAACAACCCACTCTCCAAAAAACAATTTGGTTTCAGGAAAAAATTGTCTTGCAATCTTCAACTCCTACACTGCAAAAACATATGGACTCCTCTACTCAACCAGGGTAAAGCTATAGACCCAATTTACATAGACTTCTGCAAAGTCTTTGATTCAGTGGTACATGACAAACTACTGTTAAAACTAAACTCTTACGGCATTTCCAATTCCCTCCATAAGTAGATTACTGTGTTCTTGTCAAACAGGCAACAAATATTAAAAATAGGGAGTGCTATATCAAACCCTGCTCCAGTTAACAGCGGTGTCCCCCAAGGCAGCATTCTAGGACCCACACTCTTTATACTCTATATAAGTGACCTTTGTGATCACCTTATAAGCAACTGCATCCTCTTTGCGGATGAAGTAAAACTATTCAACACTACCGACAATGCTACTATCCTTCAAAGCGACCTTGATTATGTGTCTGAATGGTCAAACATCTGGCAACTCCAAATTTCGACCAACAAATGCTCTGTCCTACACATTGGTAAAGAAAATCAATACACCAAATACAAACTAGGTGGATATGACCTTGTTGATGATCCTCACTTTGTCAAGGATCTTGGAGTTCTTATATCAAATGACCTAAGCGCCAGAGCTCACTGTAACAGCATTGCCAAAAAGGCATCAAGAGTTGTAAACCTAATCTTATGAAATTTCTCCTCCAGAAATATAGAATCGCTAACTAAAGCATACAAAACTTTAGCCAGACCAATACTCAAATACAGCTCATCAGTCTGGAATCTGCACTGTATATCAGACATTAATACAATCGAGCGAGTCCAGAAGTATTTCACGAGAAGAGTACTATACTCCTCTGCTCTCAACAGAATACCCTATATCACCAGGCTTGAGATTTTGGGCTTGGACAACCTTGAACTACACCACCTATGGTTAGACTTAAGCATAGCACACAAAATTATATGCTACAATGTCCTACCAATCAATGATTACTTCAGCTTCAATCACAACAATACAAGAGCACACAACAGATACAAACTCAATGTAAACCACTTCAAACTTGATTGCAGAAAGTACGACTTCAGCAACAGAGTGTCAATGCCTGGAATGCACTACCTGACTCTGTTGTTACATCCTCTAACCCCCACTCCTTTCACCTCAAACTAACCACCATTGACTTCACCTTTTTCCTAAGAGGTCTGTAAGGGGCGTGCATAAGTGCACCATCGTGCCTACTGTCCCTGTCTTATTGTCCCTATTTATTCGTACCTATTTCCTGTATTCTTACTCATGTTTATACTTATATCGATTATCTTGTAAGCAATTGACAAATAAATAAATAAATAAATTTGTCCTTTTAAACAGTGCTCCCAGCTGCAGCCCATGAAGGGGATCAGGACTCCTTCCTCCCCGATAGACCACACCACTCACATTTCTCCATTATCAGCTCCTCCCTGTGTGCCCTAAGTTGTAGAAGGGATGGGCCTGGGTCTTCCTCTGAATGCCCATGTGGCCTGTGCCCTTCCCCAGTTTCCTCCAAAATCACCAGAGCCACACTGTCACTCCCTGTCAGCTGTTCCATCTCTTCCTCGGAGTCACTCCAACAGGGCATGACACCATTTTTCTGCTGAATAGCATATATGTCTCCTTATTATTCACTTCTCGGTTCATAGCAGCCTTGTTGAGCAGCAGAGGTGGTATTCAGCAGGTTCTGACCAGTTCTGGAGAACTGGTAGTGGAAATTTTGAGTAGTTTAGAAAACCGGCAAATGCCACTTCTGACTGGAGATTTTACAGTATCCTCCCCCTGCCATGCCCACCAAGCCACACCCACAGAACCAGTAGTAAAATTTTTTGAATCCCACCACTGTTGAGCAGGTTCTATTATGACATCCTATTTGTCCCAAAGTTATTGGTATTCATCTGGGATTTGAATCCAGGATCAGAACTAGTTAATATTTGAATAATAGACCATCCAGAAATTAGAAATAGGTAGAGCTGTCAGAGGTGGTATTCAGCAAGTTCTGACCAGTTCTGGAGAACTGGTAGCCGAAATTTTGAGTAGTTTGGAGAACCGGTGGTAACCTTCTCCCCAGAGCAGGGAGGGAATGGAAATTTTACAGTATCCTTTCCTTGGAGTGGAATGGGAATAGAGTTTTTACAGTATCCTTCCCCTGCCACGCCCACCAAGCCACTTCTACCAAGCCATGCCATGCCCACCAAGCCGACAGAACCGGGAGTAAAAAAAATTGAATCCCCCACTGAGAGCAGTAGTACATACATACATACATACATACATACATACATACATACATACATATATATATATATATATATATATATATATATATATATATATATATGTAGATCTTTGGTTGTTCGGGTTTTCTCCCGCGTAAGATTTGAAGTATCTAGGCAACGTTTCGATGAAGTCTCATTCATCATCTTCAGGCTTCTGTCTCCAGCTCTGTGCTTCTCAGAGTAATGGAGATTGCAGCTGCTTCCTCCTTTTAACTGCCAGTGGGGGTGGAACTTGATTGGGTGGGGGCTTGGCTGTGTTCTGATTGGGTGGGGGTGTGTTCTCATTGGTAGGGGGTTTGGCTGTGTTCTGATTGGTTGGGGGGTTAGCCGTGTTCTGATTGGTTGGAGGCGTGTTCTGTTCAGGAGGGGGCTTGGTTGTGCTCAGGTTAGTTTTAGTTGCTGGGGGATTTGAGCTGGAGAGTTGTGATCTTGCTGTTTGGCTTCTAGTTCGTGGTCCTGCTGCATCTTCATATATATATATGTTTTCTGAGGTTCTCGCGGGTATTTATATGTAGATCTTTGGTTGTTCGGGTTTTCTCCCGCGTAAGATTCAAAGTATCTAGGCAACGTTTCGATGAAGTCTCATTCATCATCTTCAGGCTTCTGTCTCCGGCTCTGTGCTTCTCAGAGTAATGGAGATTGCAGCTGCTTCCTCCTTTTAACTGCCAGTGGGGGTGGGACTTGATTGGGTGGGGGCTTGGCTGTGTTCTGATTGGGTGGAGGCGTGTTCTGTTCAGGTGGGGGCTTGGTTGTGCTCAGGTTAGTCTTAGTTGCTGGGGAATTTGAGCTGGAGAGTTGTGATCTTGCTGTTTGGCTTCTAGTTCGTGGTCCTGCTGCATCTTCATAGTGGGTGTCGGTTTGCTTCATGTATGGCTCGGAGGGGTTTGAAGTGGGTAGTGATGCAGCTGCAGTGCAGCTTCTGGTCCATGGTCGTTTCTCATTTTCTGAATGGGTGGGAGTCTGTTTTCTACATAGAAGTGTGGTGGTGGCATCTTGTGTGGCTCTCATGGGTGTGGGTCCGGTGTCCTTCTTCATGTTAGGTACTCGTCTGTTCATGAGGGCGGGTTTCCAAATGGCTGGAAGGCGGGAGGTGTCATCTCGTTTGTTCATGCTGTGTGGGCGTTTTTCTATCTCTATGGCTTCTCTGATTATTCTGCTGTTGAAGTGTTCGGTTTTGGCGATAGTTCTGTTATTTTTAAAATCAATTTCATGTCCTGTGGCTTTGAGGTGTTGGACCAGGGAAGAGGTCGTTTCTTCTTTTTTGATTGAGTTCTTATGTTCTTCAATGCGTGCACTTATTCTTCTGTTAGTTTGTCCAATGTATGTGGTAGGGCAGGCAGTGCAGGGGATTTCGTATACTCCTTGGTTTTCTAATTCGATTTTGTCTTTGGGGTTTCTTAGGATGGTGGATATTTTTCTGTTTGTGCAGAATGCTGTTTTGATGTTGTGTTTTTGGAGGATCTTGCTAATTTTGTCTGTAGTGCCTTTTATATATGGGAGGAGGGCTTTGCCG